TTGAATTTTCTCTTTCCCTTTTTTCTTATGGGTTTTCAACCTATAAAATAGAATAAAATATAAATATGTTAAAAGGGGATAATAGAGTAACATCACATGTTAAAAGGGATACATAATGTATAAGCAAGTAAAATCATCTATAAAATATATGTTACGTAGTTCAAATAAAAAATGTCGTTAAATACATTTGAATTGAATTTATATAAGAAATTATGTCATTTAAAGAATAATAGAGCAATATAATTGAATTCAATTTAAATATAACCTTTTAAACCAGAAACACCTCAACTACTACCTTTTGGTGCTATTCCACAAATGATAAATATTGACATACTTTAATGTTTTAATATCTAAATAAATATTAAACTAATTAATAATTAAATATTTATATCTTGATATCTATTTAAAATATAAAAAATACAAAAAAAAAATTATTCTAGTTAGCTACTAATATATAAGATTATTAATTATTATACATTAGCAGACCAAAAGTTACGTTAAATATTTATTTAAGTATTATAAACAAAGTTTGTATTTTGTTACAAAACCAACGTTTTTTTAGCCAATATTCCTTTTGACGAAGGGTGTAATAGTAATTCGAGCGTGACTTGCGTGGCACTCTCGTAATATCGTGAGCGGAATGGCAAAGATCAAAAAGCGAAACCAACGGCTTAGTTGGTATTACGCCGACTCCATCGTTTCCACCAATGGATATGTTTATACATATACATATATATATATATGTATATAAACCTACAGTCAGATATTGTTATCGTTCGTCTTCACTTCACAGCCGAAAATTTTTACTCACCGAGTCACAACCAACATCAAGAGAAGAAAAACTCAGAAGATTTTCCATGGATTCCGATTACGGGATTCCTCGAGAACTCTCCGATATTCAGGAACTCAGGTCGCATTACGAGCCAGAACTCCCTCCTTGCCTTCAGGTCTCCGATTCTCTTTATCTCTAGTGTTCAGTTTTTTTTCCTTATTTCGCTTTTGAGATCACGTTTTCCATCGATGCCGGTGAATTCGAGCTCCTCTTTGGCTGGTTCTGTTTCTCCCTCTGTGATTTGGTTGTTGATCTCGTTGTTTGTGACTTACGTTATGCGTTTTGGTGAGATTTCGGAACTAGGTGTTAATGTTAGGGCTTCTGTTTGCCACCGTTTCTTCTCTAAATAAATGGTAATTGAGGCATTCTATAAACTGGATTTCAGAACTATGATAGATTTTGGTTTTTTATAAACCATTTTGATGCGAGGTTTGTTTACGGAAAGGTCGTAATTTTTCTGCAGATATATCTATAGCCAGTGAAATTTTTTAAAATCTTTTAGGAAAAATCATGAGCTATACGCGGTTTGATCTCATGGGTTTAATCTTTCTATGTGACGGCGATTTTTCAGGGAACCACCGTCCGTGTGGAGTTTGGTGATGCGACGACGGTTGCAGAAGTCGACAGTGCTCATATCATTGCTCGAGCCTTCCCAAACACTTACGGACAGCGTCTGGTCCACTTTCTTAGAGCAACTGCTAAAGTTCCTGGTGCACAGATCATAACTGAGCATCAGGCTATTCGGTATGAGTCTGGTTATTCTGTCCTAGCCGTTATTTTCCTACAATTTTATTCCTTAATGCTGTTAGATAAAAGTTTGGAGCTTGTGGTACGAGGTGTCAAAAAACATGTCCTGTGTTTTTTTTTTTTGGTTGTAGAGTTGGATTCTTATTCTGTGGAAGACAATCTCCTGGTGGACATAATGTGATCTGGGGCCTGTATGATGCTCTTAAGATTCACAACCCACAAAGCACCTTGCTAGGATTTTTGGGTATGATCATGTATTTGTCGTATTTGCTTTGATTTGGTACAATTTCCTGATTTGGCATCGGCGATTCCTGTTTATAGGTGGATCAGAAGGTTTGTTTGCACAGAAAACCCTTGAAATCACTGATGACATACTCAGAACCTACAAAAACCAAGGTAAGCAGCTTGTTTTAGCTGTTGGTATTTGTTTTAGCTGGTGGAGTTTATTTGTGTTGTCTCATAAGCTTCCTTCGTAATTGTCTTGTTGCAAGGTGAGCAGCTTGTTTTAGCTGTTGGTATTTGTTTTAGCTGGTGGAGTTTATTTGTGTTGTCTCATAAGCTTCCTTCGTAATTGTCTTGTTGCAAGGGGGCTATGATTTGCTTGGACGGACAAAAGATCAAATCCGAACCACTGAGCAAGTTGATGCTGCGCTTGAAGCATGCAGGGAGTTAAAACTGGATGGCCTTGTTATTGTTGGAGGTAACTATGCATATGGACTTTGCAAAAATTTTCAGAGGCCGAATTACTCTCTTTGGATTTGGTAAATATCAGAGTTTTGCGCCATTTCCAGGTGTAACATCAAACACGGACGCTGCTCAGCTGGCCGAGACATTTGCTAGAGCAAAATGCCCAACAAAGGTCATTCCTATGTATTATTTGCTTTTACTGTCATCTTCAATAGCTGGAATTTTCTTACAAAGAGGTGTGCTATATCATACCTCTTCTTATTTATTGTTATCAATCTGTTTCTCTGCGATTTGTTTATTACAAAATTAATTTAAAACTCACAGGTGGTTGGTGTACCCGTCACGTTGAACGGAGACCTCAAGAATCAATTCGTAGAGACCAATGTTGGCTTTGATACAATATGCAAGGTACCACCGCACAAAGATTATGAACATCAGCTGTTGTTTCAGATCATTTATCGATTTATTTTGTCAAGTTATCGGCAGTCGCATTTCTGCCACATGCTTTCATCTGTTGTCTATGAACTCTGCACCAAAAGACTAGCTCGGATCATTTTTCTCCTCTGTTTATGTTCTGACTGATTTTCACGCTGTGCAGGTCAATTCCCAGCTCATCAGCAATGTCTGCACTGATGCTCTCTCTGCTGAGAAGGTATCCAAAGTCCAAAGATTTCATTCAACATTGACATCATATCTATGAGATTATGCGCTAAGAAATTTAAAAAAATAATTTATTATTACCCGCTGATTCTGACTGATTCTTCTTTATTCTTCAGAATGATATGTCTTCTAACTGATTTTCTTGTACAGTATTATTACTTCATTCGTCTTATGGGTAGGAAAGCTTCACATGTTGCCCTTGAGTGCACACTTCAATCTCATCCCAACATGGTATAAAGTCTTGTATCTTATCCTGCATGAGGAATTTGTTATTCTGTCTTCAACTGACAAGCAATCGAGCAGGTAATATTGGGCGAGGAGGTTGTAGCATCAAAGCTTACTCTTTTTGACATCACAAAACAAATCTGTGATGCTGTTCAAGCAAGAGCAGAACAAGGTTTTGCGCTTTTATTCTCACGTTGGGGATAGTTCTCCATGTATTTATGTGACACTGATTTCAATCTTCCAGGTAAGAATCATGGCGTCGTTCTAATTCCAGAAGGGCTCATAGAAAGCATTCCAGAAGTATACGCGTTGTTAAAGGTATAGTATTCTATTCTACCATTCCTCTTTCCTTATAGAAAGTTCATGACTTCATTCCCGTTTAATTACAAAAGAACACTCTGCAAGCCCTGTTCACACCTATCTTAATAGCAAAATTGCCATGATGCAGGAAATTCATGGACTGTTCAGGGAAGGTATCTCTGCCGATAAGATTTCTTCCCAGCTTTCTCCTTGGGCGTCTGCGTTATTCGAATTTTTGCCGTCATTCATTAAGAAACAGGTTCAGTTTCTCTTGAAAGAAATATAACTAGTAGCTAGAATTTTGTGCTAACGCTACACTCTATGATACTTTCTTGAATTGACAGCTTCTCCTATATCCCGAGTCTGATGATTCTGCACAGCTATCCCAGGTACAATCAGTAGATGTAGAAAATCCGGTTGACTGTTTTTGAATTCCATACCCTTCCTTACTTCTTCCTTTTTGTTGTTTCTTATAGATCGAGACAGAGAAGCTTCTAGCCAATCTTGTGGAAACGGAAGTAACTAGACGTCTGGTATGAATTATATCAGTCTACGTCATTACCAGTCTGCTTTCTCATTGAAAATAATTCTGAACAGCTGCTAATATTCCCCCAGATTCACAAAGCCAATATGATCTGATCTTTTGGTGAATGCAGAGTAATTTTCGATATGATTTATGCTGGGTGTTTCTTTAAGCAAAATAATCTCATGTTGAGGTCTGGGTGTTGTGTTAAATGGGTCTTGCAGCTTCTGTATTGGAGATTACTAAACTAGTCTGATGGCCCTGATCACATAACGTGTCTAACAACACCTATGTTTGAGCTCATGATATAGGGAGTAAGTTCTAAGGCTGATTATATTTGATGTTATATTTGTGATTCTCTAGAGGGAAGGCACATACATGGGCAAGAAGTTCAATGCGATTTGCCATTTCTTCGGCTACCAGGCTCGTGGATCTCTAGCATCAAAGTTTGACTGTGATTATGCATATGTATGCCTTATTCTATATATTGCTCTTCAATCACATCTGATAAATCGTTTTGCTCAACCAAATTTGTTCGAGAATTTAAACAAACGAATAATATGTAGGTTCTCGGTCATATATGTCGTCATATATTGGCGGCTGGTCTCAGTGGCTACATGGCAACCATAACTAACTTGAAGAACCCTATCAACAAATGGCGATGCGGTGCTACACCAATCACAGTTGAGACCTGTCGAGTTTTTTAGTTTGGTAAGTTACATGTTTGACGCCATTTATTTGCAATTTACTGTTTTAAATTTTATGAACCTTAGGCAATGATGAGCGTGAAGCGTTGGTCGCCGAACCCAGGCGCCATTTCTATGGGTAAACCCACGATTCATCCAGCAACAGTTGATCTGAAAGGCAAAGCATACGAGTAAGACTCTCTGCCCTCGCTATTTCACATCCTAAACTCCCTCCTGCAATACTCCACATAAGCATACAATATTGCGGGGTTGTTCAAAACATATGCGGTAATCCTAACCGAACAAACTACATATCTCAGCGGATTCAAATATTAGGATTTCGTGATCATCGCTTATCGGTTATGAATAGGATCACTAGAAGCTTCTTAGCATGACTTGTTTTTTTTTCCCTGTATCAGGCTATTGAGACAAAACGCTCAGAAGTGTCTAATGGAGGATGTGTACAGAAACCCTGGACCCCTTCAGTTCGATGGTCCAGGCGCTGATGCCAAATCCATAACCTTGTGCGTCGAGGACCAAGACTACATGGGTCGTATCAAGAAACTCCAAGAATATCTTGATCGGGTTATTACACATTTTCAGATCTAGTTTCATACATACATACCATACATACATACATACAATGCATACATATTCAGATTGTGTTTGGTGATGCATTTTCAGGTTCGGACAATAGTGAAACCGGGATGCTCACAGGACGTCGTGAAAGCGGCGCTGAGCATTATGGCCTCGGTGACTGACGTTCTCTCGGTTATGTCTTCGACTTCGAACTCCAATCCATAGTCTCTTTAAGCTTGGTTGGTGCATTTGAACTTGGGATCTTGTGGATATAGTAGTCTTTGTAAGAAGCAAGTTGAGTTGCCCGCTTTGGGTTGTGTATAAAATTATATGCGGTAGTCTTTGTAAGAAGCAAGTTGAGTTGCCCGCTTTGGGTTGTGTATAAAATTATATGCGTTTTACTGTTTTTTCATAATGTTTCATCTCAAGAGGGAATAAGGTTTCTATCACATGGTTGATTACTTAGAAATACTTGGATATGCCCTTTTTTGTTCCTTTTATTAGAATCGTTTTTACTTAAACGTTAGAATTTAAAAAATTATACGAATGGTTAAAGGTTAAATCTTTGGATTAAATTCTTTATCTACAAAATATTCTTTTTTTAAACTAGTTCACTTTTTTTTATCTTTATTTATTTTAAAATAAGTTGATTGTTGGCTGGTTGGCTGGTGATATTATCAAATTCATAACTTGGACGACAAAAATCACCAACATCTTATGATGGGTAATTCAGTGATCAGAAAATCAACCAATATTATTAGCCGTCATCGATAGGTGATTATCGATGACTCATAAATCGATTTGAATCACTAATCATCGTTTGACGATCCAGAATTTAAGTCAAATAATCAGCCATCGCTCAATGGATAGGTCGATTATTGGCTGGTGATATTATCAACTTTATAACTTCAACAAAACATATCCAAATAATTCATTTTTTATAACATTAGACAGTTTATATGATTATTATATGCATATTTAGATATTTTATACTACGGTATTACCTTGTTATTCACTTTTGTAGGAAATTTTATTTTTACAATATTTGGGTTTTAAAGGAGAGCGTTTTCAGAACATAAATGACGGAACCGAAATTTTTATAGAGATTTGGCCCGGACCGGTTCAATTCTAGGACATGCCGATCCAGTTTGTCGAAGAAAAGCCGCAGATCTAGAACTAGAACGGGAGGATCAAAACTAGCACGGTGACATCTAGGACTAGAACGGGCAGATCTAGAACTAGAATAAACTAATCTAGTATGATAAGTGAGATATTTGCTCAGAATTCTCAATCGGATTGATTTAAATATAAATAAGTCCAACCCAATTTGTCAACGAGCAAAAAAGTCAGAATTCTAACCCGGAAAGAGCTACAATTAAACCAGTCCGAGACACCTTTCATAGAAAGCCTTGTTAAGACGTGAATCGGTGACGATGTTATTCATACATCTGATTTCGACATAAGGATATGAATTTTCAGAATGTTAGGTGGTGGGTTTTATGTTGGAAGTTGAGTCCCCTAGTTTTTTTGTTGCTTGAAATCTCTGAATACAAGTTGATTGTTATAGATCTTATATGCTTAGCAAATATCCATCCACCTGATAACCAATCTGGAGCTCGTACATTCCATCTATTGATTGTTAATTTTGTTCCGTATTCATTCTCATACAACTCCATACACACTCCACACACCCATCATATTTGCTTGTTCACCGATTTAGTCTCGATCGAGTTCTGATCTAGCAACCGATCCTCGAGTTCTGAAAAACTTCAGCTCTACAACCGCATCTTTGATGCAGACTATCAAAAAGGATGCAGGCTTCTAGTGGAAAACATCGTAAGAGAAAGCTTTTCACGCGCTTAAAGCTAAGTTGATCGATTCTTCTGTACTTGCTTTACTCGATTTCTCTAAAACTTTCGATAAGATGATGATTGTTTGTTGTATGTTGAGTTTGCTTACTATAGGGTTGTGCATAATGCAACTAAGTTATCGCCATTTGAGATTGTATATGGTTTTAATCCTTTAACACCGTTGGATTTATCATCAATATTGTTTTTGAATGAACAAACTAACTTTGATGGAAAATGGAAAGTTGAATTTGTTAGACAGATTCATGAGAAGACGCGAGCTAACATCGAGAAGAAGATGACACAATATGTGAAACAAGCAAACAAGAGACACAAAGAAGTAATTTTTCAACCTGGAAATCTGCTTTGGGTATATATGCGCAAGGAGAGTATAACATAAGCTTTACATTCAATATTACTGATCTTAGTCCGTTTGATGCAAATGAGTTATCAGATATGAGGACAATGATGAGGGCATCCGGAAGGACGGATGGAAGGTGAGAGTTCGGAGCGGGACTTGAAGATTGAAGGTGTCTTAACGCGTTCAAGAACTAAGAGATTACAAACGACGTGCACAGGCATGATCCAAGAGAAATTCAAACATGGACGAGTCAAGGACGAGTATGGGGGTGAAGCTCGACCTCAGATGTGCCTTCTTTAAGTGAAATACTAGTTTCATAGAACACGCGTTCGGGTCGAATGCACATTGGTTTGACTGAACGCCTATCTTGGGATGTATTAGTATTTTTCTCAAAACATGAGTTCATGTGGGACCAACGTCGGTTCACCCGAACCGTGGTCCAACACAAGTTATGATTTTTTACTGTGACACCTGTAACCCGCCTTCGGTAAACAGGTTGTGCCATGTGGACGATATAGATAAAATAATACAGAAGAATAAAATCTCACACTTTTAAAACATTTTATAAAGAGCATGCAGCAGAATAGTTTACACACATTTTCAAAATACACATGTCCGAGATATAGTTGTACATATTATACATGTAGGACCAATGTCCCCAAACCACGTTTATTTTACATCCATACATAGGACTGTTGCTCTCAAGTCGTAGACACGAGCTAAGAAATTTAAAAAAATAATTTATTATTACCCGCTGATTCTGACTGATTCTTCTTTATTCTTCAGAATGATATGTCTTCTAACTGATTTTCTTGTACAGTATTATTACTTCATTCGTCTTATGGGTAGGAAAGCTTCACATGTTGCCCTTGAGGGCACCCTTCAATCTCATCCCAACACACGACGCTATTCGTACTCCTCGGGATCTGGAAAACAGTTAAACAACGAGGGCTAAGCAAAACGACTTAGTGATAATTCGGGTTGAAACCAGTGACCTCGTTCTCACATAAAACGATATCTATTAATATTCCTAAACAATCTATAAGTACAAACAATCATTATCAATCAATCACACAAACGTTCAGATGACTACATCATTTTGGACTAACCGTCAAATCCTCGTCAACATGATAGTGTTGACTCGTTCCTCCACATACATCGACCACGTGACATGCCAGATATTCCGATGGTATGGTATTGATTCATTCGTCACCGGTATCAACACAAGCCCTTCCCTACGAACAGCACTGACTTAGTCGTCATTGACACTGTCTACGAGGTTCTTCAGACCCAGTACGCATCAGTACTGACTCAGTTGTCAACTGATACTGACTACGTACTCACCGTATCCCTGACCAACATAGTGGTACCGACTCAATTGTCAACCGGTATCCACTATGTAATCTCTGTATCGTACGTTACTGATTCGTGTATATGTACCCGTACGGTACTCACACAAATTTTTTTTACTACTGACTCCTTCATCTATCTGTACTAGACCCATAAACCCCATACGACACTGACTCATTCATCAACCGTACCGTTTCTTACCACTACAGACTCGTTGATCAATTGGCACTGGTTCCAAACCTTCCAGTACTTACTCGTTCATCAATTGGTATTGGATACCACTTTTACCAATACTGACTCATTCATCAACCGGTATTAGTCACCGCTCCCCAAGTACTGACTCGTTTGTCAACCGGTATTGGTTTGGTGTTTTTCTCCATCGTACTAGTATTGACTCATTCGTCCATATGTACTATGTGTGTGGATCATCGGTTCTTTCCTTAAAACCGCTATACTTCGTTGCACAGCAACATCAATCGTGGGTCACACACGAGCAAGCCACAATCACAACACTCAGGATGCTATTCCTATCATAATTTCTTACGCGGCACAATACCCGACACCCACCGGTGTATTATTTCATGTCATGCAATTCTACCCGTCCGTTTAGGTATTATTTACAATTTTCTTTTTTTTTCCGGGTATTTTACACCGTGTCTTATATATTCTTATCAATTTTTAAGTATTTCATATAGTACGGTTTAGTTCCCAGTCTATTAGATGTTTTAGACCGATCCGATAAGTTTCGATATCGGTCGAGAGCATATACAAAAGAGTTATATCTTCCGATATTTATTCTCCACATAGATCCAAATTATACGTTCTATATGTCATTACCAAGCTCTCTTTGATATCTACATATAGACACCACTCAATTCTGACGTCGGAGCAGAAAATTATGAACGAAATACTTCGGCTGTGTAAACTGACGATGGTAGCGCGATCGTGCATGCACGATAGCGTAATCTCAGTGAAAAAATTGCCCAAAATTTGTAGAAACTGTTTGTTGTAATGCTCTAGGATGATCCATGATATGATATTTTACTTTGTATTGATTCATTGGTTTATGAATGCATTACTATTCCCGTTATATGATTGGCATGTTTGTTATATTTCAGTACCCTTGAATCATTAGAGAATGATTCTAAACTCCCTAGTCAGTTATCATTGTGGGAACAATGATGAATTAACACTAGCATGAGGTGTGATCGATGCATTGGATGCATATCACAATCATGGGTACTCGTTGGGAACGAGTGACTGGATGACCCACATGAGATTGTCACATGGACAGAGTCATGACTTGAATCTCATACAGCGGTTCGTTCTTAGATCCTCAGACCTAAGATGTCTAGAGCATCTAATAGGAGGAGTGACGTGTCTTGACTGCGTCAAACGTCGTCTTTAACCGGATGATTATAACGGCGTTGATCAGATACGTTCACGAATCATATGGAGATAGTAGACATGCAATATGAGATTTGTCACCTCCTTAACAGGAGAGATATCGCTAGGCCTCTCGTGGAAATCGGACTATGAAAAACGTGGGTCACTCTATAGATGAAGTTGCATCTATTTTATTAGTCGATTTTCCAAGATGAGAAAGCGGTTGAACTTGAAGGGTGGCTCAAACCATGTCCTTGTTCAACATATGATATCATGAGACAAAGGATCAAAATTTGAGCAGTTACTGCTTGGTTAGGTCACCTCTAACTCAATTCAACGTGGGTGGTCATGGCGTCTTGCTAGAGGCTAACCATGACTTGTAGATCATGAATGGTTCTCGAGGCTGCTGCCACTGAGAAGGGCTTATAGGGTCACACACCATTCGGGACGGATTTACATGTGAAG